AGCCGTTTCTGGCTCATTAGCTCTCATCAGCCAGTCACACCCAATACCTGGTGATGCACCGCCCGAGGCTCGAACCCGCAACCTGTCGGCCAACAGTCTAAAACCTGGGCTACGGGCTCCTTGTCTCGCCGGTTTAGATCGAAAAGATTGACTTTCGTTGATGAACGCTCACCGACCGCTAAATAAACTCACTCCTCCCGCTCTGTCTACCCTGGCAACCTCCAAGTAGAATCTGGTTGAAAGGAGGGCAGGATGCGATGGTTAATTAGGAGACAGGTGGGGGAGGGATGGCAACGGTAGCGCCAAGAAGAACAAAAGGCAGGTCTTCGTTTGACTTCCTCTTTCCCTCTCTCTCTCCTGCAAAGAAGACACACACACATTTTCACTGGCCACGGTTTCCGGTCGCCGGTTGTGCTAATAACAGGCTTCGCGCGCGCATCGGTAAGCCGTGGATAATGCATACGAGTGCGCACGTAGTTGTTTAATTTCAGTCCTGCGCGCCACACGATGAAAACAGCAATCAGTTTCTGCTTCTCACGAACAGCAGCGAGGTGGAGCAGCCTGTGAGAGACGTTTGTTGTGTGACTAGAGGTCCGATGGTGAATGCAGCTTTGCCTAGTAAGGAGCTCAAATTCTAGGAGAAGGAAGAGACATTCGTTAGGGTGAGAATTCCGAGCTAAAGATTCGGGAACAGTAAAGTGTTCACAGGACCAGGTTCGGAGAGTTTGTTCTATTCTCCGTCCTCAAAGCGTCTACTGTCACTATCGATCAAACATTTGAGTGTCTGACCGAACGTCTCGGCCTTGGACTGTTCGATTTTGTTTTTCATTCACTGCCTCGATCTTCGTATGGATGTTTGTGTAGTTTGACGGCTTCCTCTTCCAGCGGGTCCATCGTAGGGCCATCTTCACTGAAATTTCCTTAGTTCGGTGAGACCTTTTTGATGTGGTCCTTATACACGTAATGACGTAGAAATTTATGGGCCACAGGAAAGTTCAGATACCTGTCAGTTGTCAGTCACTTCGTTTTTGAGGTGCCCCGGTCTAAGATGCTCACTCATTGAATGTCAAAAGTATGACCAGTCGCTCTAATATGGGTTTTAACCTGTGAGTTTGGGTCTAGCCTCCAAACAGCCAGTTTGTCTTCATATAGGCCGGTCGGAAATTTTCGTCCAGTTTCCCCCACGTACTTGCAGTCCCCAAAATTGCAACATAATCCGTAGGGGGCA